TACGGTTTTTGAAAAGAAGTGAAAATAAGCTAAAATCAAAATTTAGAATATGACCTTGACCTTTGACCTTGACCTAACTTTCTTTTTTTTTGGACCAAGGACCTCAAATAAAAAGACCCTAGGTCTCTATCACTTATGGTTTACCAGTTAGAAATGCATATCACTTATATCAAATGCATAAGGGGAATTAACTCTCATATGGAGTCTCTGGAATACTTCGGTGAAAACCAACTCAGCATCCTGAAGATATAGCGAGCAATTTGGTAAAATAAATTTGTCGTAATCTTTTACGGTTGCGAAGGAGTAGTGGCCACAAGAAAAACAGTGTTTGGGGAGATAACTCTTACAACGTAAGGTATTTGGTTACGCGGTTGTCAGTTTTAAAAGCGTATAAACTATACAATATCATATTCCAAATATCTAAGCGACATCTTATGAAACAACAAAACTACGCAAGAAGAAAAATTAGACGGAAGAAAAAAAAATAATAATAATCAGAAGAAAACCAATAGGTCTTTCCACGGAAAAGTGGAAAGACCTAATCAGAACAAAATCAATAGGTCTTTCCACGGAAAAGTGGAAAGACCTAATAATAATCAGAACAAAATCAAAAGGTCTTTCCACGGATATTTTTGTTTTGTTTACAAAATACAGTTACTTGCGTGTGAAATAATTTTAATGAAAGCTTACTGAAGGTCGTTGACAGGACGTCCATAAATGAGGGCGTGATAAATTGTCACGAATTCCAATCAGCTTTTCTGTTGATAAAGTTTGACGTGCGGTGATGCTTGAACAGTGTAAATTACATTGTCATAGTTTTATGGACTATATACTATACTATAGTGACTGTGTCATTCTGAAAAAAGTTTAGTGTAAAATGAAGTGATGTTGTATGATTGCCAATAAGACAACTTTCCACCAAAGTCAAAATGACGTAGATTAAAGCAACTATAGGTTACCGTAAGATCTTCAATTATTAGCAAAATTCATACCGTAAGGTCAACTATAAAGGCCCCGACATAACAAAAAGTGAAAAAAATCCAAACTGTTGACTCATAGATATGTCTCGCCTTTATGTAATTTTGATAGTGCATAATTTAGAATACTTATGTTACCGCCAATATAATTGTTTGTTTAAATAATAGTCAATTTTGTTTACCTTGGTCCTTGACTAATCCAGCAAATGTCTTGCATTTCACGATGGACTTCTACGTGTTTACAATTTACCGAGAAAACGTGTTTCGTACTGACATAAAACGCAAATTTTTCACAAATTGCCGAAAAACCATCTTCTGTTATTTTTGTCTATAATTTATGTGATCACAACTACAGATCATGATATGAAGTAATAGTGTTATATAGATATAAGAAGATGTGGTATGAGTGCCAATGAGACAACTCTCCATCCAAGTCAAAATTTATAAAAGTAAATTATTATAGGTCAAAGTACGGTCTTCAACACGGAGCCTTGGCTCACACCGAACAGCAAGCTATAAAGGGCCCCAAAAATTACTAGTGTAAAACCATTCAAACGGGAAAACCAACGGTTTAATCTACAGTCGAACCTCGTTGTGTCGAAGTCGAAGGGACCGGACCAAAGTATTCGACACATCCGAGGTTCGACTCATCCGAGGTCGAGTGTGTCGTCATAAATTTGGAATGCATGAAATACGGTATGATTTGTGTAAACTAGATACAATGAACAGTGTGCCTTTTTTCGATATGACACTTTATGATTGTGTATTCAATCTCCATTTTTGTTCCTTCATAATAATTAAACACACAAGTACAGATACAAATCATGCACAAATAAAATCAATAGTCTACACAAATATTTACAAAGGTCAGTCACTATAAATTATGAAATCACTCGCGGAACGAATTAAGTTATGAACGGTTTCTGATAAGCCAGAGGTCGTCTGCTTTACATTAAATTATCATGAATTTATCATAATTGTTCTAATCCTTTTATTTATTGTAATTAATGAGTTTTAAATCTAACGATTCATTTAATCTCGGCTTGGGTCATTTAAATTCGTTTTGTTTTTATCTGATGTGAAAAATGTTCAACACACTAACATTCCGCTTGAACGATCAACCAAAGGTGTTAATTACCGGTCACCATAAACATGTCATTTTAACTGTTATACAAACAAGTATGTTTACTCAGCTTTAATCTCTTTTGAAAATGATTAGGTTACATAAGAAATACATCCGATTTGAATTTTTATCATAAGTCTGCATCTTTTGAAAATTCTTACTATCGAACTTCGAGTCATCGGGGTCAATTTACATGAATTTTACATCGACGGGACTATAAAATTTACTCAACTTAACCGAGTATTCGAATCAACCGAGTTCGACTCATCAGAGGTTGTTATGCATTGATCAAACGGGAATTTTACTGGGACCGAGAAATTACTTCGAATCATCCGAGTTTTCGACACAACCGAGTTCGACACAACGAGGTTCGACTGTATATAAAAAACGGGAAATGCTCAGATAAATGAATAATTGTTTTTGTCATAAGAAAAGAGTGTTTGAGATTTGTTTCAAACATATTAACATCCACTAATATTGTGGATAAACAAACAAAGATTTCATACATTCGTTCACGATACAGAAACCAAAAGACACAAAAACTCAAAAGGAGAATACTTTTGTTGTACATGCAATTGTATTCTCTCTTCTGTATAAAAAAAACATTACTTATTGAAAGACATAAGCATACATGATTCGAAAATTCCTAGAGCATACAGTATCATATAACTCATCATTCCTTTAAAATGTATTAACTTGTTTTAAAGAGCTCAGAGTACTTTTACTGGACAATGGACATTTCGTTATTCATTTCACATGAAATGAATGCACCTGCAGGTAAAGGGCACTACAATAGACAAATCCTGTTCATTACCACTACGACGTAAACAATGCTGAAGCTGGTGAATACAATTTAAAAAATCTAAGCTTGCAAATTGAAGATAATTACATGTATTACATTAAATGAACAAAACTATTGAACAGGAGATTCCGCGAGGAATACAAAAATACAAATTTCAACTAAATCACGTGTTCCTAGGTGATAGTTAATTTGTAGTAATCCACAATGCATTCTGATCCATTGTATTCTTTTGTCAATTACTCAAAGACATGTTTGCATTTGGTATTTGGGAAAATACTATGTAGTCCGACGTCAGAATTCTAGTGGTCTCGACCTGTTTAACTTCAAGCGGCAAATTAAATACATATGCAGAACGAGAATGTGCTAATGTTATATGAATTTTAACCATGCTTTGTACTAGAGCGACCCGCTGAACCGGATTTTGAACGTGCTAGCTCTATTGCTATATGTAACAGTCCGCAGAAAATCATGTCACCCTACCCTGACAAATTGTTGTGACTCTAAGCAGACAATTCTTTGCGTTTACTCCTAAATGCCGCGTGCTAAGCGGAGAAGCAACACAAACCAATTTTAAAGTTTTTAGTTTGACTCGTCCAGGGTTCGAACCCACGACCCCACGTCACTAGCTCATACCCACCCCTAGGCGAACACGTTACCACATGACCCCCGAGGCGGTTCTGTTTAAACATGTACCTATGCAAAACATTCAAACTTCCATGGAAATGAGATATGCCAATACTTATGAAAATGCATATAAAATACCAATGACAAGTGGTTCCCTTTAACCAAACCTAAACACAAACGTTAACATGTAAACAATATATATGTTTTTCTCTGACTGTTAATGATGTCTTTACACTAAATCCATTGGATGTGTGCTGATTGATACTTTAGTCTTAGATACATGATTTTTTATTAGTTGTTGTTGGCTTTGAACTAGCTGTCAGTAACTGCGAGTACTCTCAGATCTGTATTTAGTGTCTTTGTTGTTGTAGGGATATATAAATACCCTGCTTCGTCCGGTCTGTGTTTTTGTTTTCCTGCTTTGTATCGATCTGCTGCTATCGATCTGATGAGTTTGTTCATTTATTGAGCAGTTACATCTCTGTCACAGGTTAGGAGAGGGTTGGGCGTTTGTATATGAATCAGGCTGTTAGTTTTCTTGTTTGGATTGTTTTACATTTGTCATTCGGAACCTGTTATAGCTGACTATGATGTATGGGTTTTGCTCATTGTTGAAATCCGCATGGTGACCTATAGTTATTCACTGCTATGTCATTTGGTCTAGTGGAGTTGTCTAATCGGCAATTATACCACATCTTCTTATTCTTATAAAGACCGAGCAACATGACCCCCCCCCCAAGTAAGCTCATGTGCTCTGGAAGGGTAACTAGATACTGCTCCACATGTAGCACCCGTATTTGTATTACGATTTGTGTTGTGAGTGCGAAAATCATTGTTGTTATAGGTCCATATTTTTGTTCTTTTTGAGAAATAATAAATTGATTTGTGAATAACAATGGTAACTATGGTAGTTTTCTTTAGCTTGAAGATTGTATAGTCGCTTTGGATGTCTTAAAATGAACAATTGGAGTGATACTCATGAATAAATCTACTCTTTGCCTCCTTTTGGTCAAAAGGCTCGTTACAGTTCGTCGTATTCATACATCTTTGGCTTTCAAATGTTTTGGTTTGAGCGTTCAAGATGAAGGAAAATCCTGAAAAGCGCTAAGAACGCACGAAATTTACCCTTCCGGAGCACCTGAGATCACCCCCAGTTTTTGGTGGGGTTCGTGTTGCTTAGTCTTTAGTTTTGTATGTTGTGTTTTGTGTACTATTGTTTGTCTGTTTGTCTTTTTCTTTTTTAGCCATGGCGTTGTCAGTTTATTTTCGATTTATGAGTTTGAATGTCCCTCTGGTATCTTTCGCCCCTATTTTACATAGAGTTATTTTCATTTAACAAATTAAAGCAGACAATTTTATTTTCACAAACGACCGATTTAATACAATATTTCAAATATTTTATCTGGAAATTTATCACATGAATGTCAATAACTTTGACAATGAAAAAAGAACCAGAACACTAAAACAAACGTACCTGTTTCGTTACTTGTACTATTGCTTGTTGACGTAGACCCCGAGTTAGATGAAAAATGAACATAAAGAGCTATTCCAAAGCCAGCTATCCCAAGTAACACGATAACAATCTAAAATGTAGAAATATACGCAACATGATCGAATTGATTTGTCGTCCCTTTTCTTATATAAAAGAACCAATGGTCATCAAGCACAAAAAAGAGGCCATTAGGAGCTTGTGTCGCTCACATCTATCATTGTTAATCCCCAACAACGACAACTCTCCAACAAGATAGACAATAATCTAATTCCAGACTAAAACTTTTATTTTTATTTTGGGTTGTTTATCATTCATTTGCTTAGAGTTCCTCATTATCTACAAAAGTTTTTGCCCAAAACGCAAAATTGTCTTTCAAAGGCTAATCTCCTTAAGCAGTCTACAGAAAATTTCAGTCGACTTAAAGTATTGGTCAAAATAAACAATATAAAGATTTTAACCTTCTGTAAATTTTTGCCTTATAACAGGTTTCAAAATAATAGACAATGCTTGCATTGTATCCCTAAGTTCTATGTTAGGCATTGGTGGATTGGTGGCCATGTTGATTGGCCGGCAAGATAGTTGGACACATTTTTTTAATTTTAGAATACTCTGAATGATTGTGGCCAAGTTTGGTTCATATTAACAAACTAGTTTTAGAGGAAAAGATTCTTGTAAAGATCATGGATGACGGTCGACGACGACAGACGATAGCCGCCAAGTGATAACAAAAGCTCACATTGGCCTTTTGGGCCAGATGGGCTAAAAATAAATTAACAAAAAGAATAACTAGAGGCTCTAAAGAGCCTGTGTCGCTCACCTTGGTCTATGTGCATATTAAACAAAGGATACAGATGGATTCATGAAAAAATTGTGTTTTGGTGATGGTGATGTGTTTGTAGACCTTACTTTACTGAACATTCTTGCTGCTTACAATTATCTCTATCTATAATGAACTTGGCCCAGTAGTTACAGTGGAAAATATTTTGTAAAAATTTACAAAAATTGACTATAAAGGGCAATAACTCCTTAAGGGGTCAATTGACAATTTTGGTCATGTTGACTTATTTGTAGATCTTACTTTGCTGTACATTATTGCTTTTTACAGTTTATCTCTATCTATAATAATATTCAAAATAATAACCAAAAGCTGCAAAATTTTCTTAAAATTACCAATTCAGGGGCAGAAACCCAACAACGTGTTTCCTGATTGGTCTGAAAATTTCAGGGCAGATAGATCTTGACCTAATGAACAATTTCATCCTCGTCAGATTTGCTCTAAATGCTTTGGTTTCAGAGATATGAGCCAAAAACTGCATTTTACCCTATGTACTATTTTTTAGCCATGTCGGCCATCTTGGTTCGCGGGCGTGGTCATCGGACACATTTTTTAAACTAGATACCCTTATGATGATTGTGGACAAGTTTGGTTAAATTTGTCTTAGTAGTTTCAGAGGAGAAGATTTTTGTAAAAGATTACAAAAATTTACGAAAAATGGTTAAAAATTGACTATAAAGGGCAATAACTCCTTAAGGGGTCATCTGACCATTTTGGTCAAGTTAACTTATTTGTAGATCTTACTTTACTGAACATTATTGCTGTTTACAGTGTATCTCTATCTATTATAATATTCAAGATAAAAACCAAAAACTGCAAAATTTCCTTAAAATTACCAATTCAGGGGCAGCAACCCAACAACGGGTTGTCCGATTCATCTGAAAATTTTAGGGCAGATAGATCTTGACTTGATAAACAATTTTACCCTGTCAGATTTGCTCTAAATGCTTTGGTTTTAGAGATATAAGCCAAAATCTACATTTTACCCCTATGTTCTATTTTTAGCCATGGCGGCCATCTTGGTTGGTTGGCCGGGTCACCGGACACATTTTTTAAACTATATACCCCAATGATGATTGTGGCCAAGTTTGGTTAAATTTGGCCAAGTAGTTTCAGAGGAGAAGATTTTTGTAAAAGTTAACGGACAACGGACGACGGACGCCAAGTGATGAGAAAATCTCACTTGGCCCTGTGGGCCAGGTGAGCTAAAAAACACAAGGTACTGTTCAAAGAGTACTATCAGTTACTAAAAGCAAGTTTAAAGTCAATTCAAACAAATAAATAAATCATTTTCTTTTCCAGACTGAGACTGACCTTTGAATCAATACACATTCCAAAGAATGAGTGTTGAGGATCAAACTATACTATTAATGTAAACAGGACTTAGAACCAAAAGTGTGCATAATTGTATAAATGTAGTAATACATGTTTAGTTATGTTTGTATTTATTAAAAACAAAATTAGTTTGTACCGATGAAGACAATGTTCAAAGATCTTGACTACAGTAATCAATTTATCAAATTTCAGATTGAGTTTATTTAAAGAATCAATAAGTTTACACGGATCCTTAATAACTATATAACCTCTATAAACATCATCGTACAAATACGGATGTGCTTTCGATGTTTGTAATACGATTTCTAAAGGTACAACCAAACTTCAAAATCAAATATGAGTATTTATAGAAGAGCATAATAAAGTTTATAAATAATTTGTAGTAACGAAATTCCTGACTTAACAACTTACCATTTATATAAAGATTACGTTCATTTGAATACAACGGACATGAGTATAGCGAACGAGTTGATGCGATATTAAGGCAACGAACAATAATCTCTTTTGTCGTAAATTTTGGAATAGAGTTTTATCCAAATCTAAAAAAAAGTACACTTATTGTGTGTTTATTTTGTAAGGGTAGAGAAGCCATTTTTCAATCATTTAACCTAATAAATTGAATATTTAATCATCCTTTGAGAAGTTGAGGAGTAGGGTGCATTGTCAATATGCTTATCGTCATCAACAGCTTGTTCTGAAATTTATTGACATAGAGTCATAATTATGATTTGGTGTGTAAACAATCTTGGAAAATATAACCAAATGCAGTTCAAAGATTGTAAATGCCCTATACAGTCAAACCTGGTATAAAGGTCGTCTTTACCAAGACAATATCTTGGCAGGCCACTCTCTTCCTGTGCCACTGTTGTAAAACTTACGCATTTGGAACTTTAATTCAAAGGTCACCTCAGTGATAAGACCAATTTCACTTTTTCCCAAGGGTGACCTTTGTACACAGGTTTCACTGTAATCATAAAACGTATTTTTGGGATGTCCCAAAGGTTAAAAATCTCCTTCAATGCAAGTACGTCATTCTGACCTATATTTAAAGTTTCATGTTACGTTTTTTTTAAAGTTTTTATGATTACTAGTAGTTTAATAAAAAAAATCTTTTTTTGGAGGGAGATAAATAAGGAAAATTATAATGACCTACTGCAGATTATATATGGTGATTATATGTAGCTTTTAAAATAAATGAATAATAATTATTACTAGAATAAAAAAACAAAGTGACTTAATTCAATTAGATATGATTTTACACCTGTGATGTAAAAAAGCTACTTACAGTTTACGTGCAAAATCAAATAAAAAATGTGATCAGTGTCTTTCGAAGAGACAAAATCCGAAGTTCCTTTAAACAAGTGTTTCATTTTTGTTAGACTTTATATATATATTTCTCTTTATCGTTATATTTTGTTTGTATAGTAATAGTTGAGAACAACTAATGTTAGATGTATGTGTTATATTGCAGTGTAAATCTTTATGTACTAACCAGTTTTCTTGCACATGAGCAGTTTTAAATTTTATATTAGATTTATCTAAAGTAATTTCCTTTGGGTAAATATAAAAACTATAATTATTGAATTCTTGATTAATTAAACCAGAAATATCATCAAGTTAATGGTGATTGCTATTTAATTGTTCTATTTAAAAATAATTTAAACGATTCTGTTTTGAGTTGGAATATATACTTTGATTTATTATAATACAAGAACACGTCTGCAATTAAAAGGGCGCAATTGGTGCCCATATGAATACCTAAAACCTGTCGATTAACCGTAACATACATGAAATTATGAATTTAAATACATTCAAGGCCGTACGGTCTACAGATAGTCATAATCATTTCACTACCACAGCACAGTTTAAGGCCTCTTTTGAACAGTTGAAGGTCCCCACTATTTATTGGTTACCTAAATTACTAAAAAAAAAAACGTACAATATCGTTTGATATCGGCCTCTAGTAAGTGTTTTACTCCTTATCTTTACTGTGCATTTAACGAGTTCCTTAACTCCTGTCAAAGAACTGATCATTATTTTTTGTTATAAAACATATGTAAATAGTGGAATTGACCATTTTTATTGTGAAAAAAATTCTTTCGATGTTTTAGATAAATTACCTGCTTATGATAGTCCTTTTGATTCGGGTGACAGTTTTGACTTTCCAATCTTTACACTTCACACAAGTGAGAGGTTTAGCGCTATAAAACCAGGTTCAATCCACCATTTTCTACATTTGAAATTGCCTGTACCAAGTCAGGAATATGACAGTTGTTGTCCATTCGTTTTATGTGTTTTATCATTTGATATTCCATTTGATTAGGGACTTTCCGTTTTGAATTCTCCTCGGAGTTCAGTATTTTTGTGATTTTACTTTTTTCTTCCACACCATCTTATCAAACACAAATTTTCCTAATTAATTAAATGGTCGTTCGATAAATCTGATTGCAAATTCATTTGCTGCAACTCATATAAAGCCTTTTTCTCAAACGAAAAAGGTAAATATGCTAGATATACTTACTGGAGGTGTAATGAGATGATTAAAACCAGACATTTTCTCCATGACAACATTAATGTACGTTTCGGCAATAAAGTTTATCGACAGATTGTAGGTATTCCTATGCGCACCAAATATGCCCCTTTAATAACAGACTTGTTCCTGTACTGTTATGGATCACAGTTTATGACCAAACTCAGTAAAGACCCGTCTAAATTCCATTTAATTGATAAATTTAACAACACTTACCGTTATCTTCATGATATTTTTTCGTTAAATAATCAAAAGTTCTCTAAATATACTGACAAAACTTACCCAAAGGAACTTACCTCAAAAAATCAAATATTAACAGCAATACGTGTCCTTTCCTATATTTAGACAGTTCTGTTTTACACCAGACACTCTACACAAAAATTTACGACAA